GTGTGGCAAAGAATATTCAGGTTTTCCGATTCTTCTGACATGTTTTTAAACAATACAGAAAGGGAATAGCGCGACGCGCGCGATTCTAAATACAGCGCAGCTTGTACAACTGGACGTGACGTTTCAATTCGTAGGTTTTCAGCCGGAGAAATAAATATTTTCGATCCCGGCTGTTGATAAAACACCTCGTGGTTCGATCGTGCTCACGTCCTCTCAGGAATCTCTCCCGATCTCATTGTTCGTGGGCAGCAGGGCAGAAAGCGGCACTTCCGGTTTCAGGTTGAGTTGCACGACGGTCAGACGAACGAACAGACAGGCCTGGCTGCATCCTCTGACTCCCCAGGTAAGCACCTGCGCCATGTTGAGCATGATACGGAGTGGAAGGGAAAGAGCATCGTAACGTCTCATTTCTGCGCTGAAATTCCTCGACGGAGTTCGGTGTTCCTCCGATCCAACATAAGCGGTTCCCCGCGCTTAAACAAACAATCGTTAAGATATTTTCACCCGATTGTACCTATTTTTTTTATCGTGAATATTTCGCGATTGCATTCATTCATAATTCATAACGATGCAAGATTTCACCGGTATAATTAATGCGATGTGCATAATTAACCGTGGACGGCGAAGTTTCTGAAACGTTGAATTCTAGCTCCTCTCTCGCACACGGAGGAACGGAACCGTGACCTGTGCGTGCGCATAACAACGTTATTACTTTTTTTTAGCGCTTCTCCGCGCGGTACCCGCCGCGGAAAATTGTCATAGCAACGGGAAGTGGATAAGTCAGCGCGGAACCGGAAGTCGCCGTGGGATCGCTCGCGGAGGCAACGCTGAAAATACCGAGCGAAACCTTCGTGCTCCCTGGGAACCGCCGATTAGCCACACGCGCGCGTGTATATTTTTCGCCTGTGTCGTGTGTGCGGGCAATCATCGCGGTATACACACGCATACACACGCGGAAACGTGACGACGCGCGGAGTCTCGGAGTCGAAGATATATACAAGCACACGCGGGGGACGCGAAACGTTAGGCGAATATACGGCGCAGATAAATCCTGTGGCTTTTTACAACGACCGCCGCAGAAGTTTCTTTCATCGTGAGAAAATAAAGATTATCGCTATTCAGCAAATCCATTGAAAGCCGCGTCGTCGTGTCCTGAGTAAAAAACTTGAAAACGGAGATTAGAGGGAGGTCAAATCACATTACGTTATTACTTGTGTTCCACGTTACACGGACGCAAGTGGAAACGGGTTTAATAAAGGACTTGCCTGCGTACCGTGACAAGGTAGGTCGATGACTCATGCTAATCATTGTTACGCTATGGAGAACATTCGGCCTGGCAACTATTAAGAAAAGCATGAAGCCACACTTCGTCTTCAGTCTTTACCGATGTAGCGAAGAATGAACTTGACGAAGTGGTCGAAAGTGCCAAAAATCTAATGAAGCGCATCAATCAATGACACGTCAGCGGACGGGACATCCGGAGTATTCGGACGCTATTTAGCCAGATGTTTGGCAATTGGAGGATTAACAATAATGACATGGTAATGAGAAGTGATTTCATGCCAAAGTACATTAGAGCGACGTACTTATCTATTCGTCTCTTGGTTTCTAGATATCGAATTTGATCTACATCCAGAGACCGTGGGCGACGTTGACGTCACAGGCTGACCAATGACTTTCTCGGCTCGGCGTCCTTGAAAAGTATGGACACTTTTGCGGTGGTGATTCAACATCGCAATTTATACTGTTGTTCGCTCTGAATAACGTGAGAAAACGCATAATAGCAGCGAAAAAAGCATTTACAAATATATGTTCAAAATCGACGATGCAATTAAATGAATTAAAAGAACGGTCAATGAATTTTTCAAAAAATTCAAAAAAAGATCTACTCGCATATTGAATAATATTAAGAAAATTTATTTAGAATAAAAATGAATTTTTAAAAAGCGCGATTTGAATTTAGGAAGATGCGAGGCGAATTATGAAGATCTCTATACTGCTGTTTATTAGTAGTTGGCCACTTTGAAATCTGTATACTTATTTCTCGAAACAACGATCGGTCTTCCCCGACAGTCAAACTCCGCCTTTCCTCGATAACGCGTGCGATGTTCACGGGCCATCAATCTTCGACTATCGTCATCGCGAAAGCTAATATTGACTTACGATCAAAATCAGAACTTCGTAACAAATATATATCGATTCGACGACTCATTCGCATCCGCAAAGTGACGCTATAAAAACGCCCGATCTCCGCCAGAACGGACGCATTTGTTTCTCGAGTTACCGGTAAATATCGCTAGATGTTTACTAGAACTAAATGATATATTGCATGGCGGTCACTCAACACCAACATTCCTATCTAAATGTTAATAACGCGATTCTAAAAAAAAAAAAAAATTTGTAACCAAATATCAGTCTCTCTGTTAACCCTAGACAGACTCACTTATTTTTCTCATACGTGAATGACTCACTGGGGTAATACGTTACCCCAAACTTGTACCGTGTGTATAATATTTCCAGAATGTTCTTAAAAAACTTTATAATAGATAATTTTGTTTGTTGTTTAATAGGGAAGACGATAGTAGTCATCAATTTGCGGTAGTAAAAAAAAACAGTAAAAAAATTTCGAAAAAAAAAACAAAGAACCAAAAATTTGGCTGAAATGATGCGAATTTGAATTTTGCGTGGGGTAACGTATTACCCCAGTGAGTCTGTCTAGGGTTAAATCAGGTCTCTTGAAATGCATCTTTCTGTTAAATATACAACAAAATGTTAGCGCACATTTTATCGATACATCGTTAAAAATCAGAATTCTTCTCTCTTCGTTTGTACATTATGAATACGTTAATAAAAAAAAGGCATTGTACTGAATGTTTCGGTAGATAGAACATCTACGTCGGTTGATTGGCCACGTAGCCTTTTTGTTGCGTTCCATTGAGTAATCGATGAACGGAGCTTTTATATAATGCGACACAATAAATGCGGTGCTTATTCCATCGTCGAAAACACGTGTGCGTCGCGGATCGTATCGCTGTCTCGTAACCGCAAACTATTTCAGTATACGCCTCGTACAAAGCTGGTATATGTGATTATTAAGGTGCTTATACTTGTCTTGGCATCGAATGACATCGCGCGACGGGATTTCCGGGAAACTATTATTTTTAGTTTGGTCGGTAATCAAGCTCCGCGCGTATTACGGAACGGATACCGAGACAACGATATCGAGATCACGCGACACACGTACGGCCGTTTCCTCTACAAAACTTTCGTTGAGCAGGGAGAGACGAAATTGTTAAACGTTAAGAGGCCCATTCTCGTATTCCGCGTATGAATAAAACAGGTGCACCTCAATAATTTATTTTGCAAGCTGACGCAATATGTAACACTTAGGCTATATACGTTTGTATCTATCTCGTTACGCAACAATCGCGCACACAGGCGTTGACGTTAAAGATCACGAAACACACGAGGACGCCAAATATCGGTTACGAAAGAACGCAGTCATGGATTCGTGACGGTAATTTACCCGCCTTGCATACTCGCGAACTTTTTTTTTCCACGATCTCGAATTAATGGAAACCGTAATAGGTCCACGCGCTGTCGTTGCTCTCGCCGATAAAAAAACGGCGCGATTTTTCCGCTGATAAAATCGGCGAACATGCTTTTAACGCGCTTGCAGATCGCGGGCTAGCACTTAGCGATAAATATAAAAGCCCGCGATTTATGGGGGCTCGCGCTCTGGTAGCGCTGGGACCCGATACGTGTCGTCAGTCATCGCGACGTCGAGCGTCGGTAGCAAAATGCATCTGGACGATCGCCAAATTTAAAAATAAGTTGAAATTCGAAGGAATCGCCCGATCGTCAGCCGGCTCTCGCTCCGCGACCGTTGATCGTTTTGCAACGGCAGTAACGTATAGTCAATTTATGAAATATACCACGAGGATATCCGCTCTCTCGTGGACTTTGATATCTACAGCGGATTTTTCATGTTGACTTGACAAGCGACTTTTAGACTTTTAGTTAGTTTCTTTAAGGCTCCTGGATGGTCAGCCGAGAACTCTGCGTTGACGGTGGCGCCGCCACTCTCTCCTCTCACTCTCTCCAATGGAGAATTCTGTCTTGTGACATGTTGACAACCTATTTTGTCGTCCTTGCTATTTCTTTATTACTCGCTCTGTGCTTGTGCTCTAACGTTTAACGTATTCGTGAAAATCGTAAAATTGACCGAAAAGTAAGATTTGCATGCGGAAGTAACGTTTTCACCTCTTTTCGATAGTCGTTAAACGGCTGTTTTTCCCGTATGTTTAGGCTTTGTTTTATGGCTGTTTGTTTATTGTCGAGGGAAAAGGCTAGTTTTCGGTCAATTTCGGAAGTGTTCTGAAACGATCTATAGTGATGTTTTATTGAAATGTCTCTTTATTTGAAAATGGTACGGACGACAAAATTGGGTGTTTTCCTCGCCTCAATAGTGAGAATTCAATATGGCCGCGGTGACCATCCAGGAGCCTTAAGCAGCGATCTTGTTTCCTTCACGAATGTATCATCAATAAAAATGTTGAAATGCACAGTCATCGTCCAGCATGATTCACGAAATGAATTTCAGGCTCGTCAGACTCATCCGGGAGGGAGCGGTTAAATCTCAGGATTTCTCTCGGGCGAATCTCGACGAGAGAGCAGCCCCCGTATTTATGGGGTTGACGCAACCGTCTCGCGTACGTTCGCCAAAATACGAAACCGAAAGTTTTAATTTAGAACAAACGATTCGTATTTTTGCGCCCGCTTTTATCGGGCCACGGCTTTCCGCTGGTGGGCCGCAGCGTCATGCGTATCTCGCGCCGATATCCTCCTCGAGGATTGATCGCGCGGTTCCTATAAATCTCGCCGGCTAGATGGTACAGACCGATGATGCTCAGTAAGAGTAAGCGCGAGTGGGCGCGAATGGGGGGTCCGAGGCAAGGGAGGGGGCAACAGAAGGATAGCCTTTTCAGATCCCTCGGTGACCAGTTTAGTTCTGCTTGGCATCCGAACTGCGCGCTGCGCAGGGTCCAGGGATGACGCGGTAATCATCCTCCAGCCAGCAGCGTTTCGAGTTCCGTCCGATCGAACGGTTCGATGAATATCGGGGAAATGATACGATACAATTCTGCTGCTGCGATGTGCTCCACTGACCGAGGCGCTTGCTGTCAGAGATCGCATTGGTGTTAGTGCGGCCCGACGCTCGTTTCTAGGAAGCGTGCGGTTTAATAAGCAATCACTCACGTGCGCCGCTCAGCTGCCGCGTGTCAGAGTTTAAATAATGTGCTACTCCTGAATATCGAATAGGATTGAAAAGAAATTGGAATTATACCGTGAGACAGACGCGTTGAAATTAGAACCAAGGATGACAGCTTAGTTAACGAAGTTGCAAAACACGTAGCTGGGCATACGAAGTGAACGGACGGAACGCTACCGATTGCAAATACCACTCGCGCGCGGGGTATATCCCTCCGAGCGGAAATCGCGGCAACGCTCGCGTGACGCGTTCGCGACTGCACTTTTTCTTTTTGCAATGATATTTAATCGGAGCACGGGAGAACCGAGCCGATAAAATTCGTTGATAGAGCCGCTCGACGCGTTGCGGCCGCGGTGGAAACGCGGAAAGCAAACTCGTTTTCTATACATTCGAATGCCCGAGCGAAACCGCGACGCGCCGCACTTGCCGCCAGTTAAATGACACTTGTGAAATCGACGCGCACATTTTCTGTTTTCACCGCTCCGAGCGAGAGCCGCAAGAAAGGAGAGTCGTTGACGCGGACATTCGTTCGGCTCGCTTTCGAGCAGTAGTTATGAGAACACTTCCTGGAGACAATACCGATCGCAAAGTGTTTTCCAATTGAAGGGGAATTCGCGAAAACGCCTGCTATCATCTTTGAACGCGATCAGCGTGCACCGGGTGATCTTTACACATTTAGACTCGCGATCTTTATATCGGAGACCGACGAAGAGTCGTTTCTGGGAAGCTACGAGTTTACAAGCTACAAGTTGAAGTCACGCACAGCAGATATGAGCACGGGTAGTCGTCGGTACGTGGTCTAAGAATATCGCGGTGTGTGGATCGTTGAACCAGGGCTTCCTTTCTTCTTTCCACGTGTCGAGGTGCCTGGGAGAAATAAATCAGAAACTTTCTCTGACGACGCTCGGCTCGACAGTGCTCCGTAAACGATGTCGGGGGACACCACGTCTGACGACGAGGGATCGCAGGAGGACCCGCCACGATATGACATCGACGATTTGGAAATCATCAAGACCATCGGTAAGCACGAAATATTATCCTAGCCGAAAAACCGATTGGGATTACTCTATTTTACACTGAGCTCTCTGTCTCTCTCCCTACAATTTTATTTTTATTAAAATTTTATCTATAGCTAATATTTGTGGTTGGCATAAGTGAATAGTAAAGACTAAATCGATACAATACGCAATTTTTGAATTCTATGAAAGAGTTATTTTACTTATTTTACATTCATTTTTCAGAAAATTTCTGAGAATTTTGTTTATAACTGGCACGATGTAAAAAAAATGGAAATTAAACTCGATAGCGTGATTAATATCTTTTAAAATATTGGTATATGTATATTTATCAAATTATAAATACTTATATAAAATTACAATTAGAGAAATTTTTTACATTAACGATGCATAAAAGTACTGTTAGAAAGTTGTTAAATTCAGAGATATAAATTTGTGAACGTCGTATGTATATTTGTGCAAGAACAAATAGAAAGTAGAAACTCAGTTCGCAATAATAAAAATATAATATTTTGGATCACACGGGATTTAAGAAAAAATAACGAGCGAGAAGAAATCAAATTTGTCGTTTTCAAAGTGGGACACCAGAGAGTAAGAGGATATGCGGTATATATATTTAACTGCTCGTTAAAGTCAGAATTATGTGAGAGAATGGTTCGGAAAATTGCAGGTGCTCGGCCGGTGAGACTCTCTTTTTCCTCTTTTCGTAATTTTAGCCCCAGATGCGTTCGAGCTATATCGCCGTCAGTAGAGAACAAAATTTTTTAAGACCCAGCTTCTGGATTTCGGTGTCGCTTGGACAATTTCTTCGCTCGAGACTGCCGCGCGACGACGTTTCACCTAAATTCGCGTCCGTCGCGCGCGAGTATTTAAAGCGTCCACGCCATCACCGGAAGCGCTTCGTCGTTTTACCGTTGACACCTGTTCCAAGTCATCGTTGGCCAGTGGTCTCCTCACCGTCGCGGCGACGTCTGTAGACGACGCGCATGTATCATGCCGCCCGGCCGCCCCTGGCTAAGGGGCCTATCACGCGGCCAATTTCGTCTCGCGAGATACACTTTCGACACAAATGCACGCGCGCATAAACTATCTCGCGCGCGGTGGCCGCTGCAACGTGACGGCCAATTTCGCTGTTTAATTTGGCCAAGGCTCATTGCATGCGCGCTAATTGGTCACGGTACGTTAACCAGAACAACCTGCATCGTCACCTGCATTCGTGGGAAAGTGCATTAAATAGACCGCGCCGCGCAATGCACATCACATCAAAAGAACGTCGAAAGCGTTGGTAATTAACGGTCACTTCAATGGTTCAATAGATGGCACATTTTGCTACAAACGTACTTATTATTCGTGAAGTCGTGTTGCATTGAACTTTGATCGTAATATCAACGGATCGAAGACTTACCCAGTATCATCGGAATGTCTCGTAAAATGCGAAACTTATTCAATTTAATAAAATTGACTCTCATAATATTGGAAGGAGGAAATTATTATGATATAAAATAATTATAAATTCTAATTTACAGATAGGGGAGACCGGGGCTAATTGTCACACTTTTCAAATACTGATTTTAAAAAAATGTTAGCAATATTTTATAATATTGTATACTACTTTATAATGTAGTTACATCCTTTAGGTGTAAGAAAAAAAATATTAGACTTGTATATTTATACACAAAAAAGTTATTTAATTCTAAGTAAAATCGTGCAAATGTGACAATTGACCCCATACCCAGGGTTGGTTGTCATATGACTCTGGATTGATTGTCATGTATCTATCATGTAGAAGAAACATACGACAAATAGTTCCTAGTTTAATATTTTATTAAAGTTAGTGCCAGTTTTTGGTAAATTTAACTTGATAATATATATTGCAGCATGAATTAAACGAAAAATTAATCATTTTCATAAATTTTGTAATATAATTCTCATAAACTTAGAGTAAATGAAATAATAATAATTCTTATAAACTTTGTAATACTTTCATAACTTTGAGTAAATAAAAAAATAATAATTCTCATAAACTTTGAATCTCATCTCATTTGAGACAACTTAGACCCTGAACGGTCATTTTTAACAAAGAAGTCATATTTATAAACTATGTTGCAATGACGGTTAACTAAATACAAGAAAAATTATCTAAAACTATAATATTTCTTATATGACTAAAAGGAAATTACGACTAATAATTCCAAAAACCAACGGAACAATAAAAATAGAGGTAAAGACAATTTACCCACGACCGCCAATTTTTAAAAAGTGCTCGTTAGTATCACATGCGATGTTTTCAAAACGAGCTATTTTGTACACCCGACTAACACGATAGGAGCAACTTACACTATAGAGAAGAATATTTCACTTAATCTATTAAATGAGATATAAGCTTTGTGACAACTTACCCGTGTGACTTCTAGCTCCAATCTCTCCTATCTTTAAAGTCGCGCTTGTAAACCCCAATAAATATCTAATTTAAATATTTAAATACAATTTTTAGGCACAGGCACTTTTGGCAGGGTGGTTCTCTGCAGGCATCATGAAACACCTCTCGCTCTAAAAATCCTCTCCATGGTGGACGTGATCAGACTGAAGCAAGTCGAGCACTTGCGCAATGAAGTCACAATTCTGAAGGAAGTTAAGCATCCTTTCATTGTCAACATGTAAGTATTATACGTCTATTATTGAATGGAAAACATTGCTTGAGAATGGTTGGCAATTACTCCCTAACTACTTCAAGCGTGCTTGCTCGAACGCGCGATGTAATGAAGGGAATGAAGAAAGTGTTGCGTTTGTCGGTCAAGGAAAAGATTCTCGTGAAGACGATACGGTAAAAAGCGCGGCCAAGTCTAAGCAGATACATGCAAACGCCGTTACGACTTGCGCCATGTTGCGATTAATAGCTGGATAAAGGCGAGAGAAATCGATCCACTCGCGAGAGGAACGCTTTTTCAGTCAGCGCTGCGAAATCGAGATCTGCGCTCGCGTAACAGCTCAGCTTGTCACCTTCTTTTCAAACTATGACCCCGGATTATATTCATAGACCGTTTCTTATTTCAAGACCGTCTTAAGTAACGTCTTAAGATGCTAATACGGCTCTGCGATTGGTTTATAACATCTTAACTCTAGCTCGCTACACTCCGGTCTAGTGGACCGTTGAACGTTTTTCAGTTTTCTAATTTTCACGTAATAACATAATTTTCTAGTTTCCTTATAATAAGTTTATAATTTTAATTTAAATCATTTTCTTGACCTAATAATTATCATAAACATCTTATTCAGAGTCTGTACTTCCAATTTCTACAGTACAAGCTAAAAAATATTAATTAGAATGAAAATGACAATGCGACAAAGTCGAGCGGTCTCACGGACCAGAGTGTGGCGAATTAAGGGCTCGAAAATAAGTGTGACTAGGATTAAGATTATGGGGCTGCTTTTTTCAGGCTGTGGAGCGGCAGGGACGAGGCCAGGGTGTACATGCTGCTGGAGTTCGTCGCCGGCGGAGAGCTCTTCTCCTACCTGAGGGCGGCCGGAAGATTCGCCGGACCCACGAGTTGTTTCTACGCGGCCGAAATAGTTTGCGCCCTGGATTATCTGCACAGCAAGCATATAGTTTACAGAGACCTCAAGCCAGAGAATCTTCTCCTCGATAGTCAGGGCCACCTCAAAATCACCGATTTCGGTTTTTCCAAGAAACTTACGGATAGGTGAGTCACTCAGAACGAGAATAACTTAAAAATAGGATATGAATTGACGACGATTGAAAATAAATAAATTGAAGTTTGCTTGTTAATAAAACGGTAAAAAGATTATCTCTAGTAAGCGTGTAAGAGTTAAAATTAACAAGTTTACATAATAAAATGTTCTGTAATCTAATGTCATTTTTTGTTTTTTACTTACTAATTTCTGTAAGTTGAAATTGCATTGATAAAGAACATCTGTTATAAAGCAATATCTGCAATGTCACACAATTAGCATATGTTACGGCTGAACTTCACCTGTTACGGCATGTCATAATAAACATTGTGAAACCGTGGCTATAATTAACACGTGCATTTTTAGAACATGGACTTTGTGTGGTACGCCAGAATACTTGGCGCCGGAAATAATTCAAAGCAAAGGACACAATAAAGCCGTAGACTGGTGGGCGTTAGGCGTTTTAATTTACGAGATGCTGGCGGGATATCCGCCGTTCTTCGACGACAACCCTTTCGGGATCTACGAGAAGATCCTGAGCGGTAGGATAGAATGGCCGAAGCACATGGATCCCATCGCGAAGGATCTGATCAAGAAATTATTGATCGCCGACCGTACCAAGAGATTGGGAAACATGAGGCAGGGCGCCGAGGACGTCAAGAGGCATCGATGGTTTAAGCTGGTCGAATGGCCCTTGGTAATTTGATCATATCGGTCTACTTAATTTCGCGTGATGTATGATGCGCAAGCGAGATAAAAAAAAATGACGGAAGCGAAAAAAATTAGTATTTAATAAGTGTAATCACTGTATGCGTGCCTTTACGTTTCGTGATATGTCGGAAGCGCAGCGGCGGTTAAACGATCGATGAATGTCCACAGGTGCCGCAAAGAGCCTTGACACCTCCGATAAGGCCACGAGTGAAAACGCCGGGCGACGCAAGCTGCTTCGACGATTATCCCGAAACCGACTGGCGTTCCCAACCACCCTTGCCGCCGGACCAACTAGCTCTGTTTCAAGATTTTTGACAGTTAGTGTGACGATGCCCCTTGAATAGTCACAAATATTTTAAGCTCACAAGTTCACCATGGCACCGCGCTAAATAGAAGAACTCACTTTGTGGTATAGAACAACCGTGATCACGATATGTTGATAATAATTAAATTTCCATTCTGTACATAGGTATAACTTTTTATATTTCGTTGCGTGTTACTTATTTATTTGTACGTGCTCTAAGCTAGATATTCCTTTTTGTTGTTTTCATGAGATTCTGTAAATAAAGGTTGAACAGTTGAAATTTTAAGTGTACATTTTAATGCTTAACTTATCTTTTTCTCTTAAAACTGTTGAGAGTCATAAGATATTACGTCGCCATACGTATATTGCTGAGCTGTATTTTTTAAATACATAATAGAATCAATTTATACTTTTAATCGCGGTCGTCGGAAAATAAATCTGTTTAAAGTACTGCATTTATCACGATTATCAGATTTGCCATCATATTTCATTAATTTTGCAAAATGTAATAAATTATTTAAAGTATCAGCCTTGACACGCTAGGTTTGCTTTATCGCAGCAACACAGCAACTTTCTACGCAAAGCGATAAAATCAACGTGATTCTGATCAAACAACAGTATAAAGCAGCACACCGTAGAAGAAGCATTATCAAGAGAATAGTTCTGTGTGTGAAATATTCTGTAAGCAGTGAACGTCAAAGAAGCATTGACAAAACCGTGGATTTTGGTCTACGTCACGATGTTAGATACTTCACAGCATAGGCGACATAGAGTGAAGAAGATTACAGTGAATCATGTAGAAGCCTCGAAAAGGATGAGAAAAGAATTATTCGACCATGCTAATATCAAATTGTACAATCGGTCGGTGGTAAAGAGTAAAAAAGTGACTGCTCTACAACTCTTGCGAGAATATCTGCCTATCAGTTCGGTGCATGGCATGCAGTACTTCAGTAAATTGCAAATAAAATCCAGCATTATCGGAAAGATCTTCTGGACTTTAATTATGATTTGCAGTTTTGTGTGTAGGTATAACGAATGTATACACGGAAAGAACGGTTTTGCTGCAAAGTATCTAAAAATTTAACTAGATACCTACAGATCTGAAAATAATTTTGTTGTACCATCAAAATAATTATGTAGAACACTCAAACTGATTGCTAAAATGTCAAAATATTTTTTATAGCATTATTATCATACTTCAGCGACCTACTATAATTATTTTGATGGTGCAACAAAATAATTTTTAGATCTGTACCTAGCTAAATATTTTATAGATACTTCAGCAAAACCGTTCTTTCCGTGTCATACACAGATATAATACATATTTGCATTTTTAACCCTTTGGCTATGATTGAGTTGATCACGGAGCTGTACCGCTGTATGCACAGCTCGATGAAACAAATGCAGATCAAAGAAAATGAGGATATTCTGTTTGATAGCGATAAGACATTGAGCGATAAGAAAAGAACCATGCTATAATTTATAGCGTTTTGTCGCAAAAGATCGTTTAAAATAAAGCCACTATAATGACATGGCCAAAGAGTTAATTATTAATTAGCTGTAGTGCTCGATATACGTTGAAATTTGTCAAATGTGACATCGTTCTTTTAGTCTTAGCTTTGATGCTTCATAAATTCTGGGTGCGTTACAGCACTAATCCAACCCGCAGCATTATTCGGTCGTTTCACACGCCAATATTTAGGGCCCCTTTCCCAGCTCTGACTATTTGTCCATTAATACCACCGAAGGCTGCAAGACGCAGAAAAGTATTTGAAAGTTTACATATACCGCACAATATGACTAACAACACAGCGAGATTCCTAGTTAGGTACATGTATTTTTTATTACAGTGCACGTAATGTGTAAAAGTAAACAAATGCAATTATGCAATTCTGCAAACAAGCAACTAATATTTAAGATTTATATTTAATAATAATAAAGAGTACGAAATTTCTCTTAGATACGGACCCGCATTTGCGAATGAGAATGCTCCTGGTGGTAAGACGCATGTGGACGAGTTGAAATTACTGTTAAAGACAAATAATATGACGCTGGTAGATTTAGTAAGAGCTTTGCGACCTTGCGAAGACATATTCGATTTTTGTAGTTGGAACGACGATGAGAAAGATTGCAGCGAACTGTTCAAAGTATCTTACACTTTCGCAGGTATATGTTGTTCTTTCAATTATCTTCTCGAAGATTACATAAAAAATGGCAGGTAATTATATTTATTTCATTACATATGAATTATTATTATTACACAATTGTCTCACGTCTTGACTTCGTTTCAATTAAAGTAAGGCCACTGCAGATTTCGACGATCTTCTCACAACTCCTTTCTACGGAGCAAGATCCGGTCTTAAGGTTATTTTAAATCGAGATTTTTTGGTCGAGGATGGGGATGACACGGAAGAAAAATACGTCAAATATTCAACAAATTCCGTCGGTCTTGTGGTACAAAATTGACACAGATGTAATATTAACGTTTCTAAATAATTTAACGTTCTTCGAGTAATTTTATGTTTCCTGTATTAAAAAAGAAAATTATATTCACGAATGTCAGTGGGAGACATTTGCCTCCCACATTTCTTCAAATGTGTATTGTATATATCTGATTTTTTTTCTGTGCGATAGATGTTCCCTCATCATCCTCTGGAATATGTCACCACTATAGCTACTAGACAAATTCTGCAAACAGAGCAAGAATTACAGGTGATCATGTATTTTCATATATAAATCTGTACCTTAGAGGTCAAAAATCATATCTCCGTTATTATGAATTTAGATAAAACAAGATTTAAAGTTTTAAATACCCGAGAAAAAATATTCATATTTGATCATATATGATCATATATGAATGGCCATATATGGTCAGATATGGAAATTGGCCAGATCTGAGGATATATGATCTGGTATTATTGTATATGTTAATATCTGATCATAACTGATGCCCATTTTTTCATATCTCTCTGAGGATTGATCAAGAATGGTCTCAGATCTGGCCAATTTCCATATCTGACCATATATGGCCATTCATATATGATCATATATGAAAATTTTTTCTCGGGATATTTTCAAAAGTTATTTTTTAAGAGTATGTCACTTTATTATAAAAGTAGACTCCACGATACAACTAATACAAAAATTGTGCCGCTCTATAGTGCGAGACAGTGTCGTGTCTTTTGATACCGTTCTTATAACACTGTTTGTCAAATTTTAAATACGAGAAGCAGATCCCATCGAATGCCATCTATCGAATACTTTTTGAGACGCAATATCTGATCTGAATCATATATAATCTTATATGACTATATAGGTTCATATATGATTATATATGCTCTATATATGGGTATGTAAAACTTATATCTGTGTTCATATCTTATTTATATATGTTCATATACTGTCAGATATAAATATTTTTTCCGCGGACATTTTATTCGCCTAAAAATTCGGGAAAAATATTCATATCTAACAGTATATGAACAGATATAAGTTTTACATACTCATATATAGAGCATATATAATCATATATGGTTATCTATCGCCATATATGATCAGATCTTGTGTCATGTATAATGTACGATGTGATCATATATGGCGATAGATAACCATATATGATTATATATGCTCTATACATGGGCATGTAAAACTTATATCTGTTCATATCTCATTTATATATGTTCATATACTGTCAGATATGAATATTTTTCCCGGACATTTTATATCATTATATCCCAATCTGGTCATATATAGACAGATCTGATCATGTTTCATATCATTTCCGGCCGTATATGAACATATACAATCATATACAGCATCGTGTGTCTTGTCATATATGATCATATACAGTACCGATACAGTTATGTATGGCCACATATAATTATATCTGATAATACATGGCCGAACATTCTTTATATACGACCATGTGAGGCCAGATACGATTATGTATAGTGTCATATCTGCTACACATAATAATATGTCTGACCATACATGAACTTATATGATCAGATCTTGTGCTATGTATAATGTACGATCTGATCATATATGGCGATAGATAACCATATATGATTATATATGCTTTATATATGGGCATGTAAAACTTATATCTGTTCATATCTCATTTATATATGTTCATATATATATCATATATGTTTATATATGTTCATATACTGTCAGATATGAATATTTTTTCTCGGGTAGGAAAATAATATATTTTTTTACATATAAAATAAAAAAAAAGTTAACTGACATGTTTAATAGTACAACTGCCAATAACACGCTGTACCCTGTTTAAAAATTAGGCACTGTAAAGATTTTTAATATGACTTTTTTCCTGAACATTGTGTATCTTGGGAACTAATAATAATTAATAGACATTATAAGACGCATTACCATTATATAATTTAAGCTCCTGTTATATTGAAAAATGTATTAACTCCATTTTGACAAAAACTGGAGGTACGATTTTTTACTTCTTAAGTACAAAAATACAATTATATTCTTTTAAGTAATATTATCAAAAAAAATGTTTAGTCAAACATTTCCTAAGTATTTCGCATAATATCTGATTACTTTGGCGCAATCTAGATCTCCATAATTCCGTCTGTCAAGAAAAAACTGTCCGGGTATTATAAACGAAATTCTATCGGTAAATGGGTTCCAAAATGCGCAGACAAGAAAACTGAACTGAAGTATTTTCCTGTATATCAATATTCCAACTGCTTTATCAGCTGCTCTATAGAGGCTGTTCTCCAAGCCTGTGGTTGTGTGCCACATTACTACACGCCTATAGCTCATAAATATTCTTTCAGAGTAACTTTAAAGTTTTATAATAAAATGATGAAAATTTTATAATAAAATCATAGCATATTCTATAAATTAATATACTAATACTTGTAGATTTGTGACTGGGAAGATTTCGAGTGTCTTTACAGGAACGCTAACAATATACGGGTCATTCAAAATGTTTTTACAGAAAATTTCACGTGTGAATGTTTAACTCCATGCTGGAACGTAATATACGAGCTACGAACTTCCATGCTTGTTTTAAATGGTGATCACTATTTCAATTCCCCGATGTAGTAAGTAATAATAAAACAACCCAAATCACATATCTCTTAAGGCCTCCTGGGTACTCGTCGCGGCCATGTTGGACTGTGACGTCAGGGCGAGAAATGACACATTGGAAATTCTTGCGTGGTATTTCCAAATAAAAAGATATTTGCTTAAAATATCACTACAGATCACTTAATTGAGCACATTTTAAAAATACTCCGAGTTGCATCCCTTTCCCTTAACAGTTATTAAACATCCGTAAAACGAATGTGAAACGATGCAGGCTTATGCGCAGGCGCATGACTAGATTTCGTATTACATTAATTTTACGGCTGTTTATTAACTGTCAAGGGAAAGGGGTAGATCTAACCTGAACTCGGAGTATTTCCAAAGTGTGCTGAAGTGATCTGAAGTGTTATTTTATGCAAATACCTTTTTATTTGGAAATGCCATGCAAGAATTCTCAACGTGTCAAATCTCAACGTTTCTCGCTTCTGACGTCACATCTCACGAGATGTCGGGAAAGACCCCAGGAACCTTAAAACATTGTTTTTAAAAAATATATTGCATTCCCATACATATATTTTTGTTTTATTTCAGCCGAAATCTTTCAAAAGCTCAGTCTGTTTTAAAAGTATTTATGAGATCCGAGACATTTATAGAAATGGATACAATCCCGGTTGCTGACGAATTATATTTGCTAGGTAAATGATCGTTTCCACTTCCATACTAATCTTTTAATGTCTTAATTAAAAGGAAAACTTTTCAGCATCGCTGGGTGGCATATTTAGTCTTTTCTTGGGATGCAGCTTCATAAGTGCCATCGAGATTTTTTACTTTGTAGGATTATTTTTTCGTACCAAGTCCAAGAAATCAAAATAATCGTCGATCAGAAGTTTCACGCCGATATATTAAACAGCGATTGTTTGCAATATATTAAACAATATTTGTGTAATTAAGATTGTAAATTTTTAACAATATAATTGGATGTCCGATCGCATTAGAAGGATTGATTAAATGGGATACTTGTTGGCATTGCTACACCGGCATCTTTCGGGACACCGGGTGTGCGGATGCCACGTCGAGCAACTACGAATCTGGAGCGATTAGATCTATTTCGAGCGGTTACTGGAGCGCTGCCGTAACATTTAAGTCCACGCCCGTGAAAATGTTTACTATACGACGAGTGTCCTATGCTACCGCGCGCGGGCGATCTTCAGAACGAAATCGTGTAACAAATGACCCACACAAGTTATGTTGCGACTTCTGGCCCTTCTTCAGGGTGTCGTTCAATCGGTTATGTAACTTGACACGCACTTAATTTTCGTACTCGTGTATCTCGTTTAATTTGTGCATTTCGTCATCCGCACCTGCACGCACCTGTCCGTTAATGTTGGCAATAATATAAGAAACATTTGAAATAGTCACATGGAAATATAACGGGATACGGTCAAGTACGAAGATAACAGATTTTTCAAAATAAAATAAATTTACAAAAAACACGTGATCTGTCAGAGGCGAGCAAACTTGGTATTTATATTAGTAATTATAGAGCAAGAAAAGATGAGAGGAACGGATACTTTGCGTATACGGAAAAAGTGGATATTTAATATCATAAAAGTCAGTATTGAGAAGTGCTCGAATACAACAAGCGAGTAATTCGATATACTTGTGCCATACGGTCTCAGGAAACTCTCCGCCTTACATAATGTTTGAAAGCTTTTCGCTAACTCAGCCCTAATTGCGGCCCAACATTGAAATGTGTACTAATCATGTCGTCTATTTTTGCGTACGCTGTCGAAAATACCGATTTAGTTCTACGCGGAACGTACGGTCGAACTTCGAGAGCTGGAAGCGCCGACTATTTTTGGAGAAACGCCCACACATAACGCGGGCATGAGCGTCGTCCACATCTCTACAAAGTTCTCTCTATTTGCATCTCTTGTAATAAAATTCGAATTTTTTTGTAATTGCGTCTTTCTTTTTCAATCAGTCTGCTTTGCGCATACCTCGATAATAATCAAATAATGACGAGTTATTTCCGGAGAGGCAGAAAGTAACAGCGAAATAAAACTACTGTAGCCGGCTTTCCATACGAAGAGATTTATTTTATTGTTTGTAGCGCGTCGTGCATCGAAATTATATACTACAACAAATTTTTAAAGAAACTTTTTATAATACATTTTTAATATCGCAACTGTGTAAAGGTAAACAAAAACCGAGATATACGAACGTACGTGAAACAAACTGATATATTTATTTCGGTCACTTCCCAGATGAGCACAATTCAATAACGATGCGAATTATAACTGTAGATAATGTATTCATAGCTAATTATCTAAGAAGATGTAATTAGTGTAAAATCGATAGCCGATTCCCACGACAAAGTGGCAAGAAATTAAAGCGAGACACAATGGGGGAATATACTTTTGAAATTCTTCCTATTGCTCGGTAAATATATTTTTGAATAATTCTCATCGCCGAAATCGGTCACGAAAACAGTCAAGGATGATTTGCGTAGAACATGTCTCCAGGCGCCCAGATTGTAGAAAATATAATAAATGAGAACTGGTGAGAGCTTCGAACGAGGTGTCCGTGACGTTGGTGACGATTTTGGATCCTCTGAACGCATCCGCCTTTTGACACGTATTTTCTCTGTTGTTCAGCCCTAAAATATACGATGTTTCATATTTGAAATATTATTAAATGTAATTTGAGTTTATATATTGTTGTATCGTTTAATCGAGTGATTTATTATTGATAAAACAACATAAAAAACAATACAACATCATAAGATATATAGGATTAAAGCAAAGCAAAATAAATAATCAAATTCCGCTTACTGTTCGGAGATTTCAATGACTAATTTAACACACAATACCTTCTTAACCCCATAGTCTTACTCTGTAACTTCTCTCATATAATCTTAATATTATAAAAGGTACGAATACCTTTAGACAATTTTAATTAAAATAGTGAAAAGCTTTTATTTTATGCAATTTTATCAATAATATCAAAATTAATATATGAAAAATACTCGGGACGCTCGACGCGAGTACGCAAATGAAAATCGGGACTTAAACACATTCATTAATAGACGCAACTCACCATGGTGAGGAATGTCTGTCGTGCTTAAAAAAACAACCCTGAGTATAACACCCAAAGCGAGATTAATAGAAGAATAAGGATGAAATACGTCATTAAAAGATTCGTCGTCTCGTGGGCCGCTTGTGGCATGTTTTCACCGATATGGACAGCTCTGTGTGTTACGACATACAAATTATATTATTCACTAAAAATACACTCATTATCCAATAAATTAGATTATCATAGATAAAGAATCAATCGATCATCTTTTTCAAATTTATTTTATATAAAACGGTATATAACATTAGAATATTTTTATTAAAGTCGTTCCGATCGATCTTCCTTTGAATAAATAACGATAATACTCACGAATGATTGGATAATCACGAGCTATAATTACGAAATTTGCCGTTACAATAGCCGTACTCTATTTCCGAATGTAAATGTTATTACATGAGAACACTTTGAGAGCTTTCTATCTTCAAGATCACTCAGATCCAGGAATGCGTTCCTCGCCGCCCTATGTGCGATCGTAGACTGGATCACGCGGTGCAGGATTCGCGCGCTCGGGCCGCCTTGCGCGATCCCGAAATTCCTCCAGGAACCGCATCACCATCCCCACCCGTAGCCACTCGGCGTGTACCGTGTCGCACCTTCCCGCGAAGCACCTTCTGCTCCAGGATTGGCAGAAGTCGAGATCCCACCATCGGCTGATGTTGCTTGGAGAGCAACGAGTTTCTCGCTACCTCGAGTTATATTAAGGCATTGTGGATGTGTTAGGCGTAACTTCCTGACAAAAACGCCGTCAGATCGGTTCCAGATAACCGTCGAGACACCGTCTATAGGTATTGGCAGGTTCAAGATACGTTACGAAATCAATATGCAACAGCGCGGTCCATTAAGCGCGCCGTGATTATAGGAGAGCTGCAAGATGCTTCGTGTTATTCTGAAATCCGTTCGGGTGTACTGCCAGAACTGTTGCGCGCGATTAAGATTTCACTCCTTAGCTGATGTGTGCCAATATAGAAGGCCGTCCATCATTTTCGGGCTCTCGTCTAAATTTAACTCGTTTAGCCGAACATCAATATCTCATGATGAACAATGTACGGACATCCCCGAACTCCAGCTCTCGGTCGTTATATAACGCGTCTTTCTCGTTAAAAACACATCCCGGGCACTACTAGTCTTCTAATTTATGAATTAGACTCTCCATCAAAATCGAATTTAAACATAATTTTATGGAACGTATCAGCATCCAAAGGCTTAATCGATTCTTTAATTTTCTAATTTATTGAATCGGTTTAATTGTAATAGTAATCGATTTAATTTAATTAGCCGAGATGATTACTTAGTTGGGTAATTAATAGCACTAATTACTAATTATATAAAAGTCTTAATTACAATTTTATTGTTGGATACATAATGTACATAATGTTCGCATGTTGTTCGCAATGCCATGCACAATTTTATCTATATAATTAATTGGTTGGTAACTGCATATTAGTTTCTGCATGATCTTTATGAAATCGTTTCTGAGATATGCGATGAAGACATCCTTGCATATAATACTATCTACATAGGCACGCAAATATGGCTGCGTTCAAAGCAATAACTTTGGACACGATATGACACAACTTACGTTACGAAAATAGGAAAGCGAAACTTTTATTACGGATTAAACTCGCGACACGGTACACAAGGTGCGCATATAAATAAAGATTATTCTAGGATACAATATTTCGCGTTCTACAAATTCCGTACCGATATACAAAAGTCGCGGCGTACACATTTTTTATGTGGCTTTTACGAAACTCGGCTTTGAGTAAGAAATTGACATTGATTCTTTCTTGGCACAAGCAAAAACGAGTTCTTTTATTTGCTTGACTATCCTTAACCCGTTGTGGTCACATGGGGTCCACTGGACCCCAGTTTTTTTTTTTTTTTTTTTTTTTTTTTTTTTTTTTTTTTTTTTTTTT